CGCGAGAGCGCTTTGATGGATACCGCTAAACCACACGATGCCGAATGAGTATTGCAAAAGTTTTGAAATCTTTATTAACATTTACTGCTGTATGTTTAAATTGAGTCTAATTTAATTGACGAAAAGTAATGTCGCAATTGCAAATTCGATTATCAGCAAACATCATTTATATCAATAAAAAAGTATGTATTTTTCAAACATTTTAAATAATAAACAATTTAATGAATAAAATCAATATTAATTAAATTATTTAAATAAATAATATTAAAAACATCAGTCGACAAACATTTCCAAAATTGGTTTACAAAAGTTCTGTTATAAACAATATTAGAGAAAATGTACATTTGAAAATTCGCATTCGATATAAATAACTGTTTCATATTTAAGGAATGAAATAAACGAAATTCCGAATTATAATATGAAAGGAAAGGGAAGTATTACAGTGAAGGAATCGAAGTAAGCAAGTAATAAGCTATTGTTCTCAACTTTGTGTTCAAATAGGTGGTGGCCATTTCGAGCACTTGCTATAAAAATGTTTAAAACATTATTAAAAATACAATTTTTCGTAACAATAGCTTATTACTTGCTTACTTCGATTCCTTCACTGTAATACTTCCCTTTCCTTTCATATTATAATTCGGAATTTCGTTTATTTCATTCCTTAAATATGAAACAGTTATTTATATCGAATGCGAATTTTCAAATGTACATTTTCTTTAATATTGTTTACAACAAAACTTTTTGTAAACCAATTTTGGAAATGTTTGTCGACTGATGTTTTTAAAATTATTTATTTAAATAATTTAATTAATATTGATTTTTTATTCATTAATTTGTTTATTATTTAAAATGATTGAAAAATACGTACTTTTTTATTGATATAAATGATGTTTGCTGATAATCGAATTTGCAATTGCGACATTACTTCTCGTCAATTAAATTAGACTCAATTTAAACATACAGCAGTAGATGTTAATAAAGCTTTCAAAATTTTTGCAATACTCATTCAGCATCGTGCGGTTTAGCGGTATCTATCAAAGCGTTCGCACGGCCGGCGCTTGGTTGCGCCGCACCTGACGGCGCGAACTTCACGTCCTGTGATTGGAAAGTTTCAAAGGCTCACTATTTAAAAACTATTGACCCTACAACATTTTGCTATTAACATTGTCGACTCAATTTTTCATGAGGAATACGTACGTGCCGGCTCCTCCGGGTGGTCTGAATCACTCTGTGTG